TTCGTACCAGTCTGTGTTTCCTGGTGTGCATGATCTGAGGCCAAGGCTCTGGGAAGTAGGATTGGGTTACTAAAGACAGAGTGATATGCGAGAGAGGTGAGTGGTTCCTCTCCTTCCTCTCTAATGTATGCTTTTAACTCATTTTCTACCTTGATAGATTTCCGGAACTTGCCTTTTAACTTTTCTTATTTTTAAACAGTTTAGATCTTGTTTGGGTCTAGTGCTTTTCTTTGAAAGGCTAAGAAAATTCCCCAGATTTTTCCAGTTCTAGACACCTTTACTAGACCTCTGGGGGACTCTTGTAATAGAACCACTTCAGAGAAGCACTTTAATTAGATAATGGCCTTTTGACTAAGTCATGAACATGTCCAGTGAGAGCTTTTAGCTGTTCCCAGGGGGACTGAATGAGGGAAAGTGTTTCACAGCCTACGTGAATTCTCTGCATTTTAAATGGATACAGCAGTCGTTGGAGAGTGAGTGCCTTATTTCTCTAATAAAATGACATATATTCACCCACATGTTCCATATCTTTCTTAGTGTTTGTGTCTGGGGTGTGTTACCATACAGAATGTGGTCTGTCTACCACTGTGTTAGCCAGAAAAGCCAAGTATTGTCTAAACTGGTCGAGTGTTTCTCCAGGCTGGAGATTGTTAGGGTTCCAAAGGAATTTAGCCAGAGACTTCTTACCTCATGTGGATTCAATTCCTATCTTTGGTATTTGTTTCCCAAACAGGACCTACATGTGTGGGTGTGTTGTTTTGAAGCTTTTCAAAGAAGGGTCTGGTGAGCTACATTTCATTTTCTTGTACTCACTAATCCAAATTGACCTTTTGATTTTTATAAGTGTATCTATACAATGTTGTGTCTGGAAGGAGTCTATATCAGAAAAGAAATACCTTTCAGTAGAGTCAACTGTTAGCTGATTTCCTATAAGAACATTGGATTAAGGGCAGCTATGGTGGTTTCTACTGTATGTATGAGCTTGCATGGAGGAATTTTTTTTTTTTTTTTTTTTTTATTTTTTTTGAGACAGAGCCTCAAGCTGTCCCCCTGGGTAGAGTGCCGTGGCATTACAGCTCACAGCAACCTCCAACTCCTGGGCTCAAGCGAGTCTCCTGCCTCCGCCTCCCAAGTAGCTGAGACCACAGGCGCCCGCCACAACGCCCGGCTATTTGGCTATTTTTTGGTTGCAGCCGTCATTGTTGTTTGGCGGGTCCGGGCTGGGGATCCGAACCCGCCACCTTAGGTGTACGTGGCTGGCGCCTTAGCTGGTTGAGCTATAGGAGCCGAGCCGAGGAATGTTTTTAAAAGATGAATTTGGTGTGGATTGATACTGTAATGGAAGCTATAACTTGGGATCCTGGGCTACAACTTGCTCTTTTGTTTCCCGCCCCCTAATATGTGTGCTTCAATAAAGCTTTCTCACTTGTCAAGTATTTGCATTTGTTAGTCCTATAGATGCTTTTGTCTTTAACGTTCTCACTTACTGCTGCTTTTCCCTTGGTTTGAAGGGTGAGAACTAAAGTGACAAATGGTCTTCCCTAACCATCTGTGCTGATTTGAAGAAAATTTGCCTTTCCCTACATTGCTGCCTGAAACCTTGGCTGATCTCTGATCCCTTATTCTTTGTGTTTGGTATTAAGGAGAGGACAGAGCACCCATCTTAAAAGTGGTGCCATTTTTCTCTTTCTCTCAAGGAGCAAGGGAACTCCTCCTTTAGCTTTGTAGACCTTCCCATGCTGGAGGGAGGAGAGAGATTTTCACACCTGAGGTGAGGGAAGACATTCCCTTCCATAAACACGTCTTTCTATGTCCTTCAATTTCTCTGGGAGGTGGAGACTCTCCCCTTCACTCCTACTACCATTATTTAGTTTTGAGAGAGAAATAACACAGATGCTAACTAACCATCTCATAAATAAGACTGTGAGTTTCTAGGTCCAGCCTGAGTGATTCTTGACTTCTTGTGCAAAAGGGCATTAATATATGTCGAATGCTTTTTTTATATTGAATGTATGAGGCTTTATGTGTTATTTCTTTAAAATCTCCAGCCATCTTATGAAATAAGAAATCTTTCCTTTTTACAGATGAGGTAACTCAAGCCCACAGTCATGTGACAGGGTTTGATTTCAAACAAAGTCTGACAGTACTTCACCGTGCTGCCTCCTGTGAGAATCATGTGCGTTATGGGCACAGAGTCAAACAAGGGGTGACCCATCTCTTAGTTGAGTCCTTAAGAAATAAAGTTAATTTACAAAGTAGGACAATCAGAATGCTTTGGGTATTACCTAGCCAGCATAGTGACTATATAGTGTGTGTGTGTGTGTGTGTGTGTGAGAGAGAGAGAGAGAGAGAGAGAGGAGGGTGGGATAGAGGAGAGGGAGGGGAGAGTGGGATAGAGGAGAGGGAGGTGGGGAGAAGATGGGGGAATGTGGCAGAAGGTAAAAGTGAAGACATAGAGAGGCACTTAATAACCCAAATATCTGTTTCTGTCTCTCTGTGCCTGATATGTGGGTTATTAAAAAAGTTTTGAGATAAACAAAAATCAAGAAACACAAAATCTGCATGGATGGAAATAAATGAATCCCTCCCAGCAACACCAATAAGCCAAGCAAGTTGAAATTTGCATGAGTGAATCAGGAAGGATGCTGTCGGCTGTGTTTCTTGGAAGTGAAATAATGGACCATAACACAGCCTGTCTCAAGCCTTTCATAGTGACCCACTATATACAGGGTTGTGGTCTGGCTCTGATCCTGATTCTGCTGCTGTCTCTTTCCCCTGCTTTAGGAGTTGGGATTTCTTGAATCATTATCTGCTAAGAAGGTTACAGTAAAACCTTACTTAAAGAAAGGAAAAATGACCTGTCTTGACTATTCAGAATGAAACAAAAGATCTTCAGTTATTTTAAGCTTGAGGAGCACCTATGTGAAAGAGTCAGGCCCACCTGGGAACTCTGTTCAGATAGTGGGCCTTCTGTGTTTGGACCTTGGATCTGCTAGCATGTCCCGGTTTGCTACTTGAAATGTCGGTGATAAAGGACAGGTAAGGGCATTCATCTTGCCTGACATGGAACCTTTGCCTTTGGAACCACAGACGTGGTCTGTCTAGAGATTTGCCACCCAAACTTATTGTATTATGCCTTTTGCCCATAACTTGCCTCCTGCCTCTCACACTTCCTGTATTTCCTTGAAGGGAAGGGGGATAAGAGACCTTTTTGCTCCAAGTTTGACCATTTCCTTCATGTCACTTTTTACCCAGCAACTGCCTAACTTTTTATTTTGCATTTTAAAAGTGAGATTTCCACTAAAACCCTGGTGGAAACAGCTTCTGTCTGACTCACTGCTACCCTCATGTGCTCTGGGCTCATGATTTATGTCCTATCACTCTGCTTTAAAGAGTGAATTTTTAGGGGGTTGAGAGCCTTTTATTTCCTTCTTTTCTCCTGGGCACACTCTGAGTCTTGTATCTGAGTAGTATTATAAAAGATGGAATCTTTCTTCTAGCTTAGAGCTTTCAGCTGTCTTTAAATGTAAAGAAGAAGTAGGGGTAGCATGGCATGTCTAAAAATATTTCTTCTGGAACTGGGATGCTGGTGTTTAAATCCTGACTACACTTACTAGCTGCCTGATCTTAGGCAAATTGCTTAGCTTTGCCGAGCTTCAATCCCCTCACCTGTAAAATGGGGCTAGTACCTACATTATAGGGTTCTTGTGAAGACTTCAGGGCCAATCAGTAGAGCATTTCAAATGGCACATGGCACATAGTGAACGTTCAAGCCTCCCCACCCAGCCTGCTGCTTTCTCCTCTCTAGTCTTCCACTGATCACCCTCTGTGTATAGCTGAAGGAGGAAGACTGCTGAGTCTTCACTGTAACTCTGGCTTCCATGAGTATATAAAACGAGACAATGGGGAGAACATTTTAAAGCTATGGCATACCACTGAGTGGGACTGAAGTCAGAGCAGGGATCTTTGTGTGGCCCCACCCACATGATGCTAGCCACATCCCACATTTACTTTTTTTTTTAAGAAACAGAGTCTCACTTTACCACCTTTGGTAGAGTGCTGTGGCATCACAGCTCACAGCAACCTCCAACTCCTGGGCTTAGGTGATTCTTTTGCCTCAGCTTCCCAAATAGCTGGGACTACAGGTGCCTGCCACAATGCCCAGCTATTTTTTGTTGCAGTTTGGCCTGGGTCGGGTTTGAACCCACCACCCTCAGTATATGGGACTGGTGTCCTACCCACTGAGCCACAGGCGCCACCTCCCACATTCACTTTTAAGCCTGGTTCTTAAGGCTTGACTTTGTGCTGCTGCAGCTCTTGCCCCGTGACCTGTAGTAGTGGTTTTTAAGTCTCCTAGATAACAGGCTGGGGTTTCCTCCAAGGAAATGACATCATTGCCTGCCCTTTGCTATGGGAACTGGAGGCCACAGGAAGAAGAGGTCCTTGCTCATGAGCCAGCTGGAGGGGCAGGAGAGAGCATTCTGCTCTGACTGGATTTCTCAAGCTCCCTCCCACTGTAGCGTTTTCCTAACTCTTAAGTGAAGCAATGGTACAGATAACATTTGAAGCCCAATGTCTGAGAAGGGAAAATAATAAGTAGGTTCAAGGATGTTTTGTAGCCCCCCCACCCCGCCCGCCCCATGATATAGTTAAGCGGAAAGGAAAGCTACATTTGCTTAAAGTGTCCTGGTGGTTGTGATGGTGCTGCCCTCTGCTGTCATCTCACGGTAAAGAACCAGTTAAAACAGCCGGTTAGTGAATGAGTTTAGGATTTACTTATCTGAAAGAATTTGGAGAGCTGGGCAAAGACCCAGGTTAGGAAAGGAAAGCCTTCTACCCCCAACCCACTTGCCCAGGGCCTGTCCTCATCCCCTACCTAGCTTCTTGTGTTCTTGCAATGCTACCTGAAGCAGACACTTGCATAGCCATAGTATTGCACAGCCCTAAAAAGGTGCCTGGAAACTTCTGGATTGGCAAACCTCACCCACCTCAGAGTCCTGTCCCTAAAATTGTGGGAAACCATTTCCTAATTTTTTTATGCCGCAACTTCAGCTAACTAGAGTTTTTTCCTTGACCTCAACCAATGCCCTGGCTCAAGTTCACTCGCATATGTCCCTTTGCTCCCGGCGCTGGGTCAACTCCTGGTCGCTCAGTAGGTAGTCATCAATGAATGTGAAGATTTCCTCGGGGGTGACAGGTTGCATGTAGCGTTCTCTGTCAATACCCTGCTTGTCAACCAACACCATGTTGAAGTAGGAGCGAGTGAGGCGCTGAAATTGCCTAGAGAGAGCAGCCCGGGGAGATGTGAGATCTTGTCTGGGCATCTGTCCCACCAGGATCTACTACCCTCTTACCTTTCCTAGCTCCACTGATGGACTAGTTTATTTCCAATCCTATCCCTTGTCTCCATCCCCTCCACTACCTATCTCAAGTCTCTTTTCTTTTCTAGGTTTAGGTCCTAGTTTTCGTGCCTCTATGTGTTCAGGTCTACTAAACTGTCCTCACCCCACCTGGGGCAGCTTTGTTATTACCTGCTATTACCAGGCTGTGCTTCTATTGTAGGCCCCTTTAGGCAGGACAATCACATATTACTATGTAGGCTACACAGAATAACTCCAGGGGTCACCTGTCACAGACACTGTGCTGTGTGTGCATATCATACATGGTAGCCCTGAAGTTGATAAACACCACTTGGTTAACTCTTCTATCTGTAGCTGCAAGTCTGGAGTCTCTCTCCTATGTTTCCTAGTCTCTCCTCTGAGACTGAATCTTTCTGTCTACACTGAGACTAATCCCTAGAGCAAGTATTGTTTGTAGAGCAGAGAGCAGTGATGGCTTTATTGGCCCTGAGCATATGTGGAGGCCTTAGACGGGCGATAATAGACAAATAATGAGAAAAGTCAATTTCTACCACCTGTCTGTCCCCTATAGCCTTCTCTTTCCCCAGAAGCTGGCAGTTGTGATTCATCTAAATGCCTTTGTAAAAGCACATTCCTGAAGTGCCTAAAGATGCCTTTTTGTTTCTTTGGAAACTGAAGGCACAGAGATGCGGCCAGAAGGCAACAGGATCACGGGACCATCTGAGTGAAGTTTGAGTCTAACTGTCTCAGCCTTGCCCATGCTTCAGAGTCATCTAAATGCTTTTGTAAAAGCACATTCCTGAAGTGATTTTGGGGGCCCAGTCATTTGTATTTTAAGCCCCCATTTGATATTGATGTCTTGCCAGAGTTAAGAACCACTCTCTGGTCTCACCTAACACATCCATAAGAGTTCAAACACAAGAAGTTCCCCGAGTTCTCCCTATTGCCAGTAGCCTGCCTAGGGTTTCTGCCCAACCCTGCCATGCAGCCTCCCAGCCTGGACCTGAGTTCCTCAATGATGTTGGCTGACAGCTGTTGCTCCCGGATGCGCCCCACCTCCTGAGGTGGCTGCCCCACCAGCTCGATGATGGTCACATGCCGCAGATCCAGTCCACAGGTGGATTTCTGGGAGAACAGAATGTTTTTATGGATCAGGCCTCTTCACTCAAAACTAAGGTTACTTGGCTGATTCCTCCTGGGATCACATCAGGTATGAGAAAGAAGGGGCTTCTCCCCCAATGATCACATGATCATGCTGTTGGGTATATAATAACATTTTCCCTCTGCTATTCCTGAAGTACTTACCCAACAGTATTTCCTTTATTCTTCATTCTACTGAAGTGAATGAAACCAGTTATATGATGTGGGATAGAAAAGAGAATTGTCATGACTAAATTGCAGAAACATAATCATTGCTTAGCTTTGCATAGGTTTAAAGTGGTCCTTAATGGGTGGCTAATGTGATATGATAATAATGGCTATTGAATACTTATGCCTCATGCTTTATAGAAAATTCTAACTTACCCTTCCCAACACCCCTAACAAGCTAGAGGGGGTCATTCTGATTCTGTAGAGGAGAAATTAGCTTGCCCAAATTTGCATAACAATGGGATTCTGAGCTGAGATTCAAACAGAAGGCTGATGCCCCTTTGCCCAAGTATGTGCTCTTTATTACTAGGCTATATTACCAGGGTCTTCTCTCGGTCTCCAGGATTTCTCCAAGATAGTGCCCAGTGCTTTTTTCACTACCCTCCATTGTCTTCCTCACAGTGAGCAGCACACCCTGTAACCCCACCCTGGCTCTCTATCCTGCCTTGTCCTTCAGGATTGCCCATTAGCCTGTTACCAGGGCAAGGTTTAAAGAGACATTGAATACTCCCTGGTCTCCTACCCCATTTCATTTTGGGGCTTCCCTCTTGTCCTTACCCTTCAGAGTTATGTCCTCACTGGAAGGTTCCTGTTCTTATTCTTGCTTTCTGTTCAAACTGGAGCTGTCGCCTATGTCTTTCTTTTTTAGATCCCTGAAGGAATGAGGTCCTCTTTGGTCTAGACCTACCCAGGGATCATTATTTTGGTAAAACTTCTACCATCATGGGTCTCTCAGTATTGACTTGGCAACATCTAAAATTTGACCTTTAAAAAACTTCTAAGTAGCTTTTTCTCTTATACGAGGATCAAACTCCTATAGTTCCCAGCAGCTGCTTTTCTTAGTCTTGTCAGTACACTCTAAATTCTCCTCAGAAACCCAGCCTGTTCTTTTAATAAGCTCTCATAGTCATATCTATTCTGTCCTATTTACCTCTTCCTCTATCACCAGTGACTTTGGCTTGGTGGCTCTTAGTACATTAAAAATCATCATGTGACTGTCTGATTTTACTTTACAACACTTTCCCTTCTTTTCTGCTACTGATAGTGGTTAAGGGCACTGATCCTGGAGCCAGACAGCCTGGTTCATTTCCAGCTCTACTACTTACTAGCTAGTGGCCTTGGGAAAATTACATAACATCTCTACCCTTAATTTCCTTACCTATTCAGTGGGGATAATGATAGTATCTACCTCATAAGGATTGTTATGAGAATTGGATGAATACATGTAAAGCTCATAGATTAGTAGCACTTACTGCATAAATGTTTGTTTTTTAGTGCTATTATTCCTTGAAAACAGAAACATGGTTAATTCCCAACATTTACATTTGATCATAACTGTCTTACAAGTCTCTACAGAGTGCTTTGCCATACCCCCTTCCCTTCTTTCACCCAGGCCTCTGCAAGTTACACCCACCACTTCACTGGCTTCATTGCATTTTCAGCAAAAACAAAGCAGTTTTAAAAATGCTCTGAATATGTATGTCTATAGTAAAATCAATCAAATGCTATCCACAAAAAGTTTGAGGAAGTAGGGTTTGTGTTGCAGAGAGCAGCTCTTTGTTTTGGAAAAGGAAAGGGGGTAACGCAAAGGAGCTAAACCCTCATTAGGGGAGTGGGACTTACCTGTAGCATAGAGATCTGCATTTTATAATATTGGTTGGAAGGATCGGGAGCTGAGATGATGAGGAGACGCCGTTTCTCATAGAACTGGTCCAGAAGACCAGCAGCTGAGTTAACATTGACATTAATCTTCATAGCTAGGGCAAAAGCAGATGGTTGGTCAGAATATGGCCTTCTCTTTCATCTCAGCTTGGGTAACTTAACATTTTGAGGAGTTCCAGTCTTTCAGGTTAACTCTTTCTAGTAGTTTCCATTTCCCTTGGGCAAAATTCTGATTTTAAGCTCTTCTTTTTGGTATTCTATGGTGGAATGTTTGACATTTAAAATAGATACATCTCAGAGCCCAACTCTTTCACATCATATACATTGCTATCGGACCCTGTGCCATGGAAAGAGAATCCTCCAAAGCACCCCCCCCAATCAACATGTCCACTCTCTTTATTCCCTGGTTTCACTCACGAGCACAGATAGGCGGTGATCCTGACCACTGGCGGCTGGATTGGCAGACCCGGGAGGGCGTACCCTGGCGCTCATAACCTCCATCACAGTGGTATTCACAGGTGGCACCATAGTTATCTCCTGCTGAGGTGCAGGTAAGGTAGCCATGCTGTGGTGGTTTCAGAGTTGGGCACCGTCTCACTGTCAGGGAGGAGCTCAGGTTAGGGGTTATGATGTCTCTCATAGGAAAGAAAGGCTAACAGGCTTCCCATGCTGGGCTCTCCAGATTAGGACATTCAGTATGATTGGAACAAATGGCTTTTCTGTGTGTCCAATGGCTGGGAATGGAGTTGGAATTTTTGTTAAGGAATTAAATCTGAAATGCAGACAAACATTCCTAAAGTCTGGAAACATGGGTGAATATACATGCATATTGTCATCAAAAGACTATCAGTCATAAAAGAACTTTATGGCCACCCTATGTAGTGATGATCACCTTGCAGAATTACTTTTAAAAGCATAAGTAAATCACAGGACTCTTAAATGTCCATCAATGGGAGAAGGGTTAAGCAAATTATGATCTCTATGATATTAGAGTAGTTAAAATATCTACCGTTAAAATATTTTTGAAGAATTTTTAAATAAAATGGGAAAATTACTTTGTTTTAATGAAAAGTAAAAAAAGGATTATCTGTGATTGGCTGTACAGTATGATTTAAACGAAATATTTTTTAAAAATATGCATAGAAAAAAAACCTGGAAAGAAAATACCAAAAGGTTAATAACAATTGTATCCGCATGATGAAGTAATAGATTTTTTTCCCTTTTATATATTTCTTTATCAAATGTTCAACAGTAAGCATGAATTATTTTTATAATGAAAAAAGCAAAACAAGACAATAAAATACAAAATAAAGAGGAAGAATCAGGCAGCTAGTGCCACCAATTTCAGCAGAGGTGATGACTGAGAATGAAGACTGATTAGATTTGATCATTTTGAAGTCCAAGAAAAGAAAAAGATATAAAGTATCTTTGTGACTTTTATCCAGAAATAGAATGAGGACGTCTTGTTAGGAAGTAATGTTTTCCGAAACACATACATGCACATGTAATATAAGTTTCCTGAATAAGCCTGTTCGGTGTTCTCGTTTTGTTCCTTCTCCCAGTACAAATGAGATGTGTCTACTTCAGGCATAGGAAGGAGAGGGTTGTGGTAGGCTTCTAGAAGGTCAGGGAAGAGCAGGAATAATGAACAATGTAGAAATTGAAAAATTCTTACTGACCTTGTACTTTCACAATGAATTTGCAGCTGGCCCGGTTGTATGCTCGGTCATAGGCAGTATAACGTATCACATGCTCTCCTTCAGGAAAATGAGAGCCAGGCTCAGGTCCTCGAAGTGTTACCCTGCATAGGACAGGGTAAAAGAGCCACTGAGGAAAGAGACCTTTGGAATTGAGGTCTGAGGCATTATCACTGTAGCCTCAGCCTGTGCAGTTTTCGTGTGAGTAGGCTGAGAGGCTGGGAGAAGCTGTTAGGAGGCATAAGGGGCATCTGTTACCCAAGCTTACCTGGTGATGGTACCATCGGCAGAATCTTTCACCAAGGGTGGGTCCCAGTATACTTGAGCAGTCAGTTTCTCTGGTTCTGCCATTTTCTCACGTGAGTGAGGACAACGTATCTTGGGAGGATCTATGTCTGCCAAGGTAATCAATCAAATGTTAACTTGTGGGCCCCTACCTTCCCAGGAGGAAACCCATAGAAACGATACCATACACCATTGGGTAGGTAAAACATTCAAGGTGCTCAAGGAAACTGGGATAAGAAGCCCAACTCCAGAGGAAATGATCACTTTGTTAAGCATGTGCTCAGGGTGCCACCCCCATAGTTAATAAGAATGCCTTCTGTGGCGAGAATTCCACATCTTTTGTGGATATAATATTAGGGTGGTTCTTTGCAGCGGGACAACTGAAGCAACTGGCATTTACCTACACATACAGGCTCGCCTCCACTCCATCGCCCATCTTCCATGCAGATTCGGCTGCGGTCACCTTCTAGGTGGTAGCCGCTGGAACAGCTGTAGTCACACCGGGAGTCAAGAAGCACCCCATTTGTGCAGGTGTAAGTGCCACTAGTGATAAATGGCAGTGCATGGCATCTGATCTCTAAGAGAAAACCAAGTGGCAAGCTCAGTGGCCTGTGGGACTATCTGGAGGAAAATTTTCAGTTTCCACAATGTTCATCCAACACAAAGAGAGCCATATCACAGACAGCAGAAAATACAGAAATTCCATCTGAACTACCCTTACATTTTTGTACCTAACTGCCTTTTCCCCTAATTGTCTTTGTATTTTCATATTATAGAGTATAGCAGGTCTCTTGAGAGAAGTTCTCAAAGAAAGAAATTACTTGTCCAAACCCGTGGACTTCAGAATCAGACCTAAGTTTGCATTCCAGCTAATCAGTAAAATGTGGATATCTCATAGGATTGTTGTGCAGATGAATAGGGACAATACATATACGCCTCTGGCTCATTTAGGGCCTCAGCCACTGTTAAGTTTCATCTCTTCTTCCTCAAATGCTTGATGCTCTGGAGCTCTTTGAAACCTCCTTTTTGAGTTTCATTTTGGCAATCCCATAAGCACTGCTCACTTACCTGTGGAAGTGGGCTGATCCTCTACCCCAGCTAGAATATAAATCAGACTAGTGCCTGAAGGGCCAGGTGTGGTGGTATTTGATAACAGAGGACTTTATGTGCTTTAGATACCACATGTACCAAAAGTGGATGGAGCCTGCCACTGTGAATTATCTGAGCCTGTGCTTGTTAAAGTCTTGTTTGAGAGATACTTGATACTTAAGAGAAGTAGGCCATATATTCCTGTAGGCTGTTCAAGTTCAAATCCTACATAAACTCAGTTGTTGGAGCTTTAAATAAAGATTTATACAAACTATGTTCATTTTGCTTCTTGGCCAGACCAGACTAGAAGATTATTGCATTTTCTGTTTTCCAGTATCCCTTATGAAAAGACCTATGTAAAAATGACCTCCTTGAAATCAAGGCCAAGAAAAAAAAAAGGTTTGCCTGTTCAGATGAATTTGTTTTCTTAGTAACATATGACAGTGAAAACAAGAGATCCATAATGTTTGCTATTTTGTTTCTTATGAGAAAGGTCAAAGCTAGGTTCAGGGCTTCAGTGCAGTAATCAACTCATTCTAGTAACCTGGAAATATGTAGGTCTCCATTCTTTTAACTGGTTTTATGTTCACTTATAATTTTTAGCCTTATGTTTTACAATTTTATCAAGCCAATTCAAATTCATTTAGGAAATGATGGGGCCTAAGTCCTGAAACAACTTAATTCAAGTCACCTGAAGAGATGTGGTGACTGCCTTTTTTCTGGCTATCGACCTTCTTCTCTCCTCCACAGCATCTTCTCTGACCAGCCCCATTTCCCTCTGAATGCTTAGCACTTCTGCGTCTAGTTACATGACATTCATGTGCTTACGTTTATGTTTCTATCCCATTAGTCTACAAGTAGCCTGTGGGTACTTGAGGAAGTGAGTAAGCTCCCAAAGTGCCCAATATAGGGCACTGCACACATGACTGTCATATAAATGGTATTGAGCCACAGACATATGGATAGACAAAGGTCAGCTGCTAAAAGGGTGTAGGTTGTGGAGCTTGACTAAGAGGTAGGGATTTGGAAGCTGAAGGACAACATAATTTGGAATGTGCGCGTACTACACATTAGCACCCTCACATTCTAACTTTTGGGATTTTTCTGATTTTCAGAAGAAAATGAAGGCTAGCAGATACCACACAACTTCACTGCTAAGGCATTCTAAGGTTGTAGACCAGGAAGTATAGCAGTTAATCATAGGTGAAAAAGAGTCAGATACCGCACATCCACAGGAGCTCCAGAAGCAGGCCTAGGTCCATATCAGATCTCAGGCCCAAGCCTTAGCCCTCTATGTGTACTCCTGGGCTCCCTGAATCAAAAGGGTTGGTTGCAATGCCATGCTGCTTAAGTAGTAGCCACAGGGAGAGAAAATGAACTAGAATGTTAGCATCGGGAGAGGCCTGCTTAAGGGTCTATGGAAAATTCTCAATTTGCACTTGAGAGAAGGGCATAGTAAAACCTCCAGGTATGTACCCTCAGTGGCTGGCTGGCTGGCTGGCTTCTCTGGAATACACACATCAGCATATGCACAAATACAACTTACGCCTGCAGTAGGCAGTTCCAGACCAATGACGGCTTGGCAGGCATTGCACGGACCTCCGTCCAATCAGTCGAAAGCCCCGGTCACAAGAGAGCTCGCAACGTGTTCCCAGGCTGCTGTGATAATTTCCTCCTCTTGGTGAGTAGCATGTGGCTTCTCCATCCTGGATATTTAATGTATAACACCACCGGGGGACTGTAGCGATAGAAGAAAAGTAAGCTAGAGGTATAATAATTAAGACCATGTGGTGAAAGAATAGGCATATAGATGAATGGAACAGAATACAGAGCCCAGAAGTAGACCCACACAAGTATGTCAAAATGATTTTTGAAAAAGGTGGAAAAGCAATTGAATGGACAAAAGATTGCCTTCAAACAAATGGTGCTGGCACAGTTGTACTTCCACATGCAAAAGGAAAAAAAAACCCCACCTCTACCTAAGTCCTATACCTTATGCAAAAATTAACTCATAATAGATAATGGACTTAAAAAAATAGGAGAAATTCTCCAGAATCCAGGGCTAGGCCAGTAAGTTTATTACGTGACATCAAAAGTACATAAAAGAAAAATTAATAAATTGGACCTATGTTGTCAAAACTAAACACTTTAGCTTCATAAAAGGCATTTATGAAGAGATGAAAGACAAGCCACAAACTAGGGAAAAAACTATTTGCAAGCCATATAACTGTCAAAGGACTAGTATCTATAATATAGAATGAAGTCTAAAAACTCAATAATGAAAAAGCAAATACTCTTAGAACATGGGCACCAGTCCAGTTAGGCATGTCACCAAAGAGGATAAACCGATGGCAAATAAATACGTGAAAAGATGTTTAGCATCAATATTCATTAGGGAAAATGCAAATTAAAACCACAGTGAATTACCATTTGTATACCCATCTGAATGTCTAAACTTAACAACAAAAGCTGGCAATGTCAAGAGCAGGTGAACATGGAGAGAAACTGGAACTCTTATACATTGCTGGTGGATATGCAAAAATATAGTCACTTTAGAAAACATTTTGTAGCTTCTTATAAAGGTAACACCATACTTTCTTGAAGAAAGGCACATCTACCATATGACTCTGCAATCCTACTTTAAGGTATTAACACAAGTAAAATGAAAACCTATATCCATGTAAAATGCTGTATGCAAATGTCTAAAGTAGCTCTATTCATAATTGCCAAAATCTGGAAACAACTCAGATGTCTCTCTATGAGTGAATGGTTAAGCTAAATGAGGTTTTTCCATGTAAAAAAAAGTGCTGAAACATGCAACAACATGGATGAATCTCAAATGCATTTTGCAAGGTAAAAGAAACCAGACTCAAGAGGCTACATATTATAGAATTCCATTTATATGACAAAATATAGAGACATATATAGGCAAAAATACAGTGATGAAGTACAGATCAGTGGTTGCCAGAGATCGGGGTAAAGGTAGGGGATAACCTCACAAGGTTATGCTGGGCAAATTTTTGAGGTGATGGAACTGTTTTGTATTGTGGTGGTGGTTACCTGATCCTAGGCATTTGTCAAACTCAGAATTGTGCACCCAAAGAGGGAACCTTATTGTATGTAAATTTAAAATAAGTTTTTAAAAAATAACATGAAAATGTGAGCTAGAGAGAGGAAGGGAAAGTGATATCAAAGAAATCTGCTTAGGAATGAAAGCCCAATCTCCGTTCAGAACTGAGCACAAAAGGTTATAGGGTTGGTAAATCATAAAGATATCATAAAGATTCCTCATGGGGTATACAAAATAAATGACACTTCAATGGATTCAGAGTTTAAAGGGACATTTGTAAACAAGCAGAGGGCCACCTGCCTAGAGATGCATATAGAACATGGTGCAGATCTGGTAGCCTAGGGTTGGGAAGGTTAAAGTCTCACGTGAGCTGATTCAGTTTCCAAATCCTAAGGGACAAAAAAAAAGATGGGGCTTTGGAAAAAAAAGTAGATGAACTATCCAAAGGAACAAGGAAAGGCTAGAGCCTCTGCTTGAGTGCAGCTGGCGAATGAAGACAGATGGCAGTGAGAAAACTATTCTTCAACCATTGCCACACGTGGGGTTTCCAGCATTAGTTTTGAGCTTGTGGCAGTGACACACGGCTGCCATCTGGAGACACTATCTCCAAATTACAGAAAGTCTCTTAAGCACTATTGTTGTAGAGCTGTTGATTATAAAGCGACAACACATGTCACAAAGACCTTATTTGGGAGACTGGGACTTCAACAATCACTCCACTTCTATTTTTCTCCCATATTCTATTAAGGAAAACACACATCAGATTGGAATGGGGAGAAGAAGCAAGAATGGTAAAGGGAAATAAAAACCTCAGGATAAATGCTGAGACAGTAGGAGAGGCCCCAGCTATTATAAATTAGTTTAAACTTGCTGACCTGGAGGAATCCTGGCATCAAGACAAAATGTTGAAAGACCAAGAAGGACAAAAACATTATCTCAATTTTCAAATAAGGAAGAAGGTAGCCTCTGGGAAGTATAGGCTGGTGACACTGGTAGCACTGATAGCATAGTATTCTAGAATATTTAAATGTAAGGCTTATGGCAGTTAGAGAAGCAATGATCTCCAGGAGCCCTTGGAAACAAGTAAGTCCAGACTGACCTCATTTCCTTTTGAGTTGGGTCACCAGACTGGTAGAGCAGGAGAAATGAGGGGTACTCTTTGTGGAAACAAATGAGGCATGTGATTATGCTTTTCATGCCGTTAATGTGGATGAGAAGAAGAAATAAGGGGAGGTGAAAATACAGTTTAAAAGATTCATAACTGGCCGAGAAACTGTACCTGAAGAATGTTAATATGAAACTGAAATGAAGAATGTGGTTAAATACTGCATGGCAAAAATGCCTGGTGGGGAATGTGTAAGATCTTTACTGAGAATCTGCTGTGTGCTAGGCATCACACTGCATATTTTCCTTAGCACAGATATCATCTCATAAACCTCTCCCAATAGCCCTGTGAGGTCAGTAGGAATTTATCTGTTTTTTGCAGATAAGGAAGTAACTCGCCCAGACTCCCTCAGTAAGTAAAGGGGCAAAGCTTGGATTTGAATTCAAGCTTTGTCTGCTCTAAAACCCATGTTCTTTCTAACCACAATAGCTGCCACTTCAGCATGATAGGCTGCTATTTTGAAGTAAACATTGACCTTGTTGAATAGGTAACATATCCACATGGCTCGAAAACTCCCAAAGTCTAAAAAGTTGCACAATAAAATGTCTGCCCCCCACCCACTTAAGTCCCCTCCCAAAGAACCTCTGTTAGTAGTTTCCTTATGCATATAAAGCAAAGGTTGGCATAGCTAGTTATGTTTCCCCTGCTTTTTGACACACAGAGTAGCATTATTATGCCCACTGTTGCACAACTTAATGATGTATTTGGAGATCTCTTTCCATCACCACATAGCAAGCACGTGATTTATCTAAATCAGTGATTTTCAACTGGTATGCCATGAGAGGATCTCAGGTGTGCCATGAAAAATTTTAAAGATCTTTAATTAAATTATTTTTGAAAGAAGTTCATAGCACAATAAGTATATTCTAGTTTTTATTTTTTTGATCAACATAATTTAAGTGTGCTGTGGAAGTTTAACTATAGGTCCAAGTGTGCTGTGAAGATAAAAAAAGGATGAAAAACACTGATCTAAATGAAATAACATAAAATATATAGCACAGTGATTGGTACATAATAGGTGTTTATCCAGGGTCAAAGATCTGGAAGGTGGAGGAACTGAGATTTGAACTTAGGCTTGTGGCCTCTGCTTTCTGTAGCTATTCATCCATCTCTTTTTAGGACATGTAAAGAAAAAAAAAGTGCTGAAAACAGGGTTGAAAGGGCCTTCTTTGTGGCTATCTTCAGATAACCCAGGCACCATGACTGGCTTGCCCAGGGATGAGGCAAACTGTGAGGAAAGCAGCAGCCCAGCGAACTGAGGGCAGACTTCAGAAAAGGGTTTCTGACTTCAAGCTAGGAGTCAGAATAAGGGCATGACAGAAAGTGTGAGATGAGTGAAAATGATAGCAAATGACATGGTAGTTTGCTCTAAAACAAGGATCTGATTTTTTACTGGCTAGTTCTTTTCTTAAACAATGAGTTACATTTTTGATGACTGAGATAGACTGAGCGTGGCTCTGGAGTCAAAGACCTGGGTTAAAATTCCTGCCGTGCTACTTCCAAGTTCCATCTCTCTAAATATAACTTACCTGAGCTTAGTTTCCTGATCTGTAAAATGAAGGATAATAAACCAGTTCATAGGGCTCTTGTACAAATCAAATTAAATTGAATGCATAAAATAGCTAGCCCTATGAATGATATTCCCTAAGTCAGTGTCTGGATTTGAGCTACTGTCTCATCCTTCTTCAAGCTACAACTTGCTGTGGCTTCTAGTGTTAGTTTTAAGCATGTGATCTGTGACACACAACTGCCATCTGGAGATATCATCTCCAAATTATGGAAATTTCTTAAGCAGTACAGTTGCAGAACGGTTGATTATGAGGTCACAAAGACATAACATGAGAGGTTGGCACCTCAGGTTGTTATTTTCCTGGCCACCCTCTCCCTCTCATCATTGATAACCTCACTCAATTTCTTTTATGCCCTGAGAGTAAGTCCCTAAGAGAGCTATGAGACTCTAGATCCCAAGGCCAAAATCTGCTATACAGCTTTTCTTTTCTTTTTTTGGCCGGGGCTGGGCTTGAACCTGCCACCTCTGGCATATGGGGCCGGCGCCCTACCCTTTTGAGCCACAGGAGCCACCCGGCTTGTATTTTTCTAATGGGCTTTCTGTTCATTTAAAAATAACCAATGAAGAAAGTTAATGTTAATCATAGGGCTACCAAACCCCTTGAAAGTACCATGTGCATCTGTTTTTTTCTATAAACCTCTTCCATTTATAGTTTCCTACAATCTGGCTTCTGCTCCCAGAATGCCAATGGTCAACATCTACTTTTTACATGGTTTGGTGGGCATGGCACACATGCTCCTTCTGTTAAAGAATTATTTTGTTGGGAGTAATAAAGAGTAAACCAAAGAAGTAATACACAATGAATACCAAATGAATGGCTTAGAGAATAAACATTTATTTCATAGGAGGTACATAGTGGGTACTCAGTAAGTATTCAGTGAAATAATGAAGGGGTGAGGGAAAGCTCAATGTGGTCTAAGGCAGTCTGGGAACAGAGCAAAGTACCCAGGCTGAGCATAGATTTCATGTGGGGAGAAGGAATGGGTAAGGATTTGTCAGGCTGGAGCTAGACTGAGGCCACATTCTGGTTAAAAATGGTCACTAGGCTTGGGGGAGGGGGAAACATGAATCAGAGAATCTAGTTAGAGGTAACTGCCATTATCCATGTATAAAGTAAATGTTTTAATCCCATGGATTAATAAATAAAGGATAGGTCTTGGTGACTGTGAGAATTGATGAGGAAAAAGAGGCTACTAAAGGTGATAGGGGCTATTAGAGGTGATGTCAAGATATTTAGAAGTCCAAGTAACCAAGACAATGTGGTACCATTATCTGAAGTAAGGTTAGCTCATAGAACCTTTTTCAGGCAAGGTGAAAGAAATTTGTTTTAGACATTGCCAAATGGAAGTGCCCAGCATCAGCTGGAGTTCAGGAGCTCAGGAGATGGGTCAGGGTTGCCAAAATTTAGATCCCAGCCTCATTATCTTTGTTGTCACCACTGGAGAGCCCATATCCTTTCTTAGTTTCTTCTGTAGCCAGAATAGTGAAATGTAATGGAGCCCAAGAAGGGAGGTTAAGAAGAAAGAGACAGGCTCACTGCTGCTAGAGGGACTGAAGAGTCTAAAGCTTCTGAATGACAAGAAAGGTCACCTGTCACTGGGAGAGAGCTGTGATCTTAAGAGTTGTCATTTCAGCTTGGAGATCTGTGTGTGGGTGGGAAATAGATTATAAGGAGTTTATGAGTTAGTGGGTGTTGAGATAGTAAGCCAATGGGGAGCATTGGCAGTGAAAAGGAAACAGGTAGACGATAGCTAGAAAGAAGCACAGAGGAATCCAAAGCTCTGATATTTTCTCTATTGAATCCATTTTCTCAAAGACCAACAGTTGCCAGATAAAATGTTTTCTCTTTATTTGATCTCTTTGTAATATTTGACACAGTCGATCTCTTACGACTCCTTTTACCTAAAACTCTCTTCTCCTGTGGCTTCTATGATATGAAAAAAATCAAGCCATTCTCCTCCTACATGACTGACCACTAGCTCTCTCTTTTTCTGTTGTTGGCCCTTTTCTCTTACTCATATCTATAGATGTCTTCTAAGCCTCTGACCTTGGCCCTATGCTCTCTCAAACAGCCCATCCATCTAAGCCTATGACTCATGAAGCTCCATCTTTCTACTCCCAACTGTTTAAAAAATAGGACATCTTTACCAAACCAATTGTCTTTTTTAACCTTGTCTTTCTGAGAGGGGTCTTATAATTCTCATAGATATTCATACTGGATGCTTTCAGATATCAGTTGTTTTCTTAGCTTCTTGGTACATCAAATCTGTACCAAGTCTTGTCATCTCTTTCTTTGAAACATCTCTGGGGTTCATCCTTCCTCTCCATTTTTCCTATTATCTTTAATAATCTCTAGGCAATATTCCTGTAACTGGTTTCTGGAGAATCTTCTTGACTCAGGTTCTATGCCTCCCAAACCTTCTTTCTGTACAGAATAACTAAGTTAATGTTCTAAAATTACAATTTACTGTGTCACTTCCCTATGCAAAAATATATGATGGCATCTTATATGTGTAGCTTCTAGTACAACAGCTAAACTCTTCTGCATGGCTTTCAAAGCATAGAAACAGAGAATCAGAAACAGAAGGGATATTAGATATCACTTGGCCTAACTTTTGTTATAATGCAGGAATGGCTATTCAGCATTCTTCTCAGATAGTCCACCTGCCTCTCCATAGATCCATAGATCTTTCCCTAGGTCATGGAATCTTTCCTAATTTGGTCTTGCTCTTTATATTTTCCTTCCTTCCTTCCTTCCTTCCTTCCTTCCTTCCTTCCTTCCTTCCTTCCCTCCCTTCCTTTCCTTCCCTCCTTTCTCTCTTTTTGAGACAGAGACTCACTTCATTACTCAGTCTGGAACTGGAGCGTAGTGGGGTGATCATAGCTCACTGTAGCATCAAACTCCTGGGTTCAAGTGATCCTCCTGCCTCAGCCTCCCCAGTAGCTGGGACTATAAGCATATGCCAGCATGCCTCACTAATTTTAAAATTTTTTGTAGAGACAAGGTCTCACCATGTTGCCCAAGCTGTTGAACTCTTGGCCTCCAGCAATCCTCCTGTCTTGGCCTCCTAAAGTGATGGAATTACAGGCATGAGCCACCATGCCCAGTCTCAACTTTTCTTTTCTACTATTCTTTCCATAGTTCCTCTCCTCTAGTCAGGCTGGTTTCTTCTTAGCTCCCTCCTCTTTCAGCTTTGTTTTTACCTCCTTATCTTTAACCATCTGCCTTGATGAATGCTTTCTTTTTGCCCTTTCCAGTTCTCAAAATCCTGCCCATCATCCTAGGCCTAGTCTAAACATCATCTCTCATGACCCCTTTCCTGACTTCTTTGTCTTAACTCCTATTGCATTTACTGCTACCACATAGCTTCACACTTACTTGCTCTATACACACTAATTTTATCTTCCTCGTGACCCCAACAGAACATAAGCTCCTTCAGAGACATAAAAACCATATCCTAGACTTTATATCACCCACAGGCTTGCTTTAGATAGGATTTTTCATAGAGTAGATACTTAGTCAATACTTAGTGATTAATAATAGACAACCTTCAGGCTAGAGGGGTGGGGTCACATAGCAAGTCAGTAACCAAGTTCATGGTTAGAAATCACAGGCCCTGATTACCTGTGTGGCAGTTTTGGGAACATATGAAGCAAACCTGATAAGGATGCTTCAGATATGGACCTAGGTCTTAGGCCAGAAAAAAACCTTTTTAAGCCTGAGAAACAGAAAGCATTACCTCGGTAGTCCAGGGAGGGAGCCTGTGGAACTTCTGCATATACTTCATTGTAGCTTTCATCTGGATAATAGCCTGAACCTAGAAAGAAGAAGACAATATCAAGATGGTGTCTTGATTTCTCTCTCAAATCCTTCCCAACCTCCCCCACCAATTCAACTTTGTTCCTGAGGACATGATGCTTCATGGATGGGTCAGGAGTCAGGTGGGGGAAGTTTTGCCTTGTAAGTCATCAGAACTATCATGGACAATATTCAGCACCTCAGGTGCACATAGGGCAAGATCATGGTCAGGGGGCTCACTGGTAGGACTAGGAAACTCCATTCATAAGAAAAAATAATCAAACTTGTTGGCCATTCATCAATTCTGTCAGTCTGGCCTATATATGTATATGACCCATTTCCTTGATGCAATACATGAGTCTTGGTGAGGCACTGATGACCAAGCTCTGAGGATGGACCATGGTTCTAGGCAGGGGGAAAAATAGTGTCTTCTCTCTAGTGACAGACCTGCTGACAGTCCTCAAAGTGAAACAGTAACTCAAGCTCCCATTAGCCCACAGGGCATGAGCCTTTTCGCTGCTGGGGGTGGCCATTGCAGAAGAGGGATGGTTGAAAAGGTAAGGAGAAATGAGAACAGTTTTGTGAGCACTTTGTTCTCATTTGGAGGAAAGGGATGGCAGAGTCCTTTGGATAAATTTCCTGTTTCTCTAATCAGCAGGAGCTTTAACAGGGAGCTGCTGAGCTAAAGAACATTCCTAATCTACTTCCGTCCAGTTAAGTGGAGCAGTCCCTGGTGGAGGCAGGTCTGCGGCTGTCTGGGAGACTAAACAGTATGTTCCACCAGACGGCAGGAAATCGGTCATGAATGTGAACTAATTGGAAAACAACTTGGTCCTTTCCGGAGAGAAATTTCCGGAAGCCCTCCTTTCAGCCTCCCTGAGCCCTAAAGCACGCACAAGAATAGGGAAGCCAGTGTGCTGGAGTCAGAAGACAATTTCCCATTTCCAGGGGAGGGTGTGCTTCCAGGGCAGGACTGGATTTTAGTGCAGGAGCCCTTTGGCCTGTGTAAACACTCAGACCACAAGCATGCCTCCTCACTGGGAAGAGGCACAGGCCCCCTGCACTGAAGGGTGGAGCAGAGGGCTAGATATGAAGCTCCTCCATTCCCCACACGCCCAGACTGGAGGTGGGGGGATGCGTTGGGAAACCAGTCCAACTTGGTGAACAAGGGAATGAATCAATTGGAAAGTTTGCCCTATGAAATCATGTCCTTGTTGGTTTGCCTCCATTCCAAAGGAAAGAGTTCATATTTTTCTCTTTCCCTTTCTTTCCCCCCTGTTTTCCCTTTTAAGTTCTTCTTCTGGCTCCCCTTTATTTTCCCGTAGGCCTCATCTCTCCTGCTCTCTCTTTTCCCAAATGGAAAGTTTCTTTGTAGCGAGGTCATGGAATTCTTGTCAGCTGTTTGAGTTTAGTCTTAGTCTCAAAGTCTTACAGCTCCTATAAACAGGAGACCAGATGTGTGTGATCCCCTAAAGTATTAGGTCTCCCTGCTCTTGTTATAGAGCTGGCTTATGTAGAAACGCTTAGCGGGGAGCAAATAGCTGTTTACTAGAAGAGAAAATGGGAGTGTCAGTGGCATATGGCTGAATAACAGTAACACAAGGACAACAATGACTGTTAACATTACTCAGCTTGACTTTGGGTTTAGCTTATTGTGTATGTTCACTCATTATGTCACCATAAAATTTCAGTAGGGTAGGCATTACTATTGCTCTTCAATGTCCAGAAGAAGCAGCAGGCTCAGAGGAATCAAGGGAGGTGTTCAGTATCTCATAGCTAGTTAAGTAGTAGAGTGGGCATTCCAGCCCAGGTCTGTTTGACCTCTACTTACCAGACTCAGATGCTTTGCTAAAGATGGTGGTTAGGGAGAGCTTTTGACAATGTCCAGCAGGGATGAAAATGCAAAACCTTTCTTGCAATCTAGCTTTTAAAATTGTGTGGGGGATTGAAGGCCACCAAGTATTTTACATCATTCCAGAATTATAGGGGATATGGGAAAACTGAGGGGAAGGTTCAATCAGGTAATTACAGTGTCCATCAGGGTGTGGAGGTAGCTGGGCCAGTGTCAAGTTTGCTTTGTGCTGGAATAAGCTCAGGCCCCCTTACCACTTTAAACCTTTCCTCACTTTGCCTGTCTGTTTCTGAAATGTTGGAATACTGAGATGCTGTATAAGAATAAACCTAGAGGGACCACTCCCTACGTTATTCTATGTGCTTATCACTTTTCAGCCCTGGGAGGAGGGAAGGGCTTGGGCAGCATTCCTTAGCTTCTTTAGGTCAATCAGTGGATGATTACTGTGTGGTCTGTTACTGGTTCCTTCAACCTCCACAGCACAGTCTGGCCCTCTAGGCACGGCCCTTCACAAAGTTATTATTGGGCATGTAATTAATGGAGACTAGTTTAAGAACCACATTAATGCTTGGCTTATGATAACAGATACAGTCTGACTTTCTGAGCTGCACAGATATGCCAATACACACTTTTAACTCACTCTTTGCTTTATTTATAATTCTTAACCCTTCCTAATCCTTGGACCCTTTTCCTTCTTAGCCCTGAATCCATACTTGTCTGCTTTCCTTGTACCATGCCCATTTTAGGACAAGGCTATAGAAGTGAATAAAACAGTCTTGAATTCATAGAGTGTGTCAATCAATATTTGTTGAATGAATGAATGAATGAATAAATGCACAGGGGTAGGCCCAGAAACTTAGTTAGCAATGTAGGGTAAGATCATTGAAACTTCAAATACCTCTCATGCAGCCTCCTAAGAATAGAAGAGGGCAGAATGAGTGGGTTTGCAGGGCTGTCAGAGATCTCACCAGCCTGGGCTTGTCAGAAGGAGTGACCTGGCGATTCACTATGGTAGACATTACCCCAGTGGAATTGGGTAGTGCCATCTTTGCAAACATCCCTTTGAGGACATCAAATGAATATAAATTAAAAAAAATCTACTTTTGCATGCCACAAGGTTTCATACATGTGTTCAAAATTGGCCTTTGAGCCATCTAATCTTCCTTCCTTTAGTCCTGTGGTCTTTGGCTGGATTTTGGTCTTCTGTACTTGAACTGAAGCTAGGGGGAAGTTGTGTGAGTTGGGGGCAGCTGCATATTTATCTCCTGGAGACTTGGGGCTCCTTTAACCCCAAACAGTGTGTGCTCTGCCAAGGGCTTGACTTGAATTTTTTCATTTCAATGTCAGCCCTTGTGTTTCACCCCCTACAAAGCCAGGTTAAGCCAAAGAGGGGAAGAAGTTTGCATATTTGTTTGAAAGCTTGATGCAGCTGTTCCAGAAAAACAGAGCTACTGCCAAAGGCCTCCACCAGGAGCTAAGGGCATGTGGAAAATTTTAGCTGCAATGACTGTGGCTGTGATGGGAGTAGTTTGTTATTTACTCATCTCTGGATATTTTCCTAACCCCATTGGTTGGGCCTGTCTCCTTCCCCCAATCTCCCCAGCCCCTGTGAGGGCAGACACTGCAGGCCACAGAATATTCTTAGCACTTGGAATGCCAGCTGTGCCCCATAAAAAGCTTCTGTATGCCACCTCATTATCCTTCCCTCATGGATCTCCCCTCCCCCTTTCCCTCTCCTCACTGAGTCTGATCTCTTCCGCTGGCTCTCTATGTCTCCCAGGGTGAAGAGTGAAGTGTTCAGGAATCCAGAAATCTTCATCCCTTCTGAAGTCAGAAATGAATCGGAAGAGACTGGGGAATTCCTGATTAAGAGAATGTGATCTGTATTGCCGTTAACAGTTTTGGCAGAAAGGGGCTGTAAAAATCTCATTTTATAAAATAGGGCCAGGGAGAGAGTGGGAGAGAGATAGAGATAGACACACAAACACACGTGCATGTGCACACACACACAAAATGGAAGCAAGTCTGATGGATTCTTTTTTCCCTTGAAAAGATTGCCTGTCTCCCTTATTTTTTCCTAATTAAGGTATGTAGTTTAAGGTCTGCTTTTGTGGTCTTGACAAGGGTATTTGACTCATAAAGAAATTGATATTAATAAAGATTAGACTCATAAAGAAATTCATATTGGAGGATGGTTTTCAGGAAACTAAGTGGAGAAGCAGGAAAGACACTGGCCTCAAAGGTGATGTCCAATCTTCTCATTTTTGTGCTTGCCTAATCTATTTTCAAATATCTCTTGCTAGGGTTGCAATGTTTAACCATCTTTATTGCACTTTAGTAGTTCTTCTCTGTATCTAAGATAGAGGTCTCTCATTGTAGTCTAAGTATCTAGGCCCTGCCCTCCCTGGAAATAATGGATAACAGCTCCCAGAACTTACCTGCATACCATGTTGGTGTCACTGCTGGAGTTAGGAAGAGCAGCAGAGAGAGCGCTCCTCTTTGAGTTAGTTGGCTTGCCATCCTTGAAAGGGAGAGTTAGGGAGATAAGAATACAGGTATGTAACTTGAAGTACCAGGGCAAAGGAAAATGACTTTCAGAAATCAGCCATCAGTGAGTTTCCGTAAGTGAAGGAAAGCAGAAATACAGCACCTGTGTGGAAGAAGGTAAATTTAAAAATTACTGAGTGTCTGTTATATCGCCCCCCCCCACATAAGGGTCTTCCACCTTATAGAATGATAGGACTTCATTTGTTATTTATGGCCCCTTTTCTTCCCATGAGTAGGACATAAAATGATCAATCTTCAACTGACTTTGGTGGGATCAGATGCAAATGTTCCATGCTTCAAGTTACAGAGAGGGACACTGAGGTACCAAAAGTAAAATAAGGCCAAAATAAAGTCACATACAATCAGAACGTAATCTGGTGATCTAAAGGCTTCCAGCTAATGGTTTTGCTCTTTCAACTAGCATTTCCTAAACACTCATCTGGGAAAATCTTAGCATATATGGTCTAAGAGCTTGAACTCTGGAGTTACGCAGATCTGGATATAAATCCAATTTTGTCATCTATTGCCTGTGGGGCCTTGGACAAATTCCTTAACTTCCCTGAGCCCACATATCCTCATCTATAAAATGGGACTAATAATAGTATCTACCTCAGAGAATAGATTATTGCCTGGCACATAGGGAAGCAATTTTATATATATATATATATATATATATATAAAATACAAAGTTAGTAATAATATTGTCTAATAATGTTGTCATAATATGTGTATATATTAGAATTATATATTAGACATATTGTCTAATATGTGTGTACATAGGTGTCATATATGGGTACATATATGTGTACATATGTGTGTACAAATGTACACATATACATAATATGTGTGTATATATATTAGATAATATTATTACTAACTTTGTATTGGGCAGGACTGGATGTTTCCTCTTCTAGTCTCGTCTCACAGGAGATAACTATACTCTGGCTCTCTTCTTAGCTTTGGGTTTTGAGGCTTAGTGGTTTGGTAGTAGCTTCTGGCTTTCTAGTCTAGCCTAACCTTCTAGTTTTACTGTGCTGAGCCAGCAGGAAGCCAGTGTGAGGTTGGGGAGGACCTACTGAGGTACATGAGGAGAGGGTGAGCAGGCTCTCGGTGCCCTCTCACTTCCTGTCCTGTCCTCACTCTAATAGGATGAGTTTTGTGGTTCCCAGTGGTCAAATACTTCATAAATGACAGTATTACAACTTACTGCCCGTTGGTATAAATTGGCCACTGGATCTTTCAGTAAGCACCCATTTACCCATATACTTTCAGTGAAGCGCTGTGCTCAGGGGACCAGTCAGTCCCAGAAATGGAGAAACAAAAAGATGGCAGATTTTGTCCAGAGTCCCTAAGTGACATGGAAAGTCCAAGAAAGGCAAAAATTTACTTCCCAATTCATTGCTATTTGGCTTCAGATTTTTTCCAGCGAGGGGCAAGGAAAGTGACAGTAAGTGAAGGAGGCAAGGAAAGTAGAAAGATGTGAAAGAAAAGCAAATCTGACAGAGCTAAAGGAAAGAGATGGATAAAAGTAGAAAGAGGCAACAAATGGAGCAGAAAGAGGAGATTAGAGAGAGATCCATAAAAATGAACAGCTAGATAACTAGTCACTGACCCCTCTCTCACATCTAGCCTTCATCCAGTTCTGGAGCAGGGGCTTTCCTTCTTTAGACCCGACATTCTGAGGCTGTGGACAACTTACCTGCCCATAATCTCAGATGAAAACGTAGAGTCAATCATCCTTCTGCTGTGGGCTGAGAAGGTAGCAGGAACATGTGTTTGCTGCTGGGTCACAGCACAAACGAATCACAGCGTATGATTCAGTTTCATAAAAGAACTTTTCCCCACCTAACTTCAGTCGTATTTCCCAAGTCCCAGGTCTCTTTATCCCCTCTGTGGTTGTGAATTGGGGTAATGTAATGTGGTGGGGTTAATTGCAAATCTTACCTGTTGTATGGTCTTTTGTGCTTGCTTTCTCTCTCCTCCTCTTTTTCCTTCGTCTCTGCTCTTCTCATCAGTTGGAAAAAACCTTCTATTTTAACATTCCTAGAACGAGTGGCTCCTGGTCGGTCTGGGCCTCCGGGATTCTGTTAACACTGCCCAGATGTTAGGACATCCGCATCTGCCAAAAGTTTCCTTAAAGCTGTATTATCCCCACAGCTATAGTTGTTCGTCCTTCAGAGAAGGGTTTTAGAGAGATGGGAGAGAAGGAACATAGGGATTAGAGGAACTCAGTTCGTCTGCTGGGGAAAAGGGGGAGTGTGAATGGCACTGGCTCTAAGCCCGTGAGTCTAGTGATGACTAACAGAGGCTGGCTGAAGGGCCTCCAGAGATGTGTTGCACTGAAGAACAATTTTTATGACTCAGCATGACATCAGGATTGAATGAAAAGGAATTTCACAAACTCCAAGGAGAGGGGAAGAATGTAGCTGCCTTTGATATTCCCTGGAGATTTCTCCTATAATTCCTTATACCCTTCAACCAGGGGTCCTCAAAGTTTTTAAACAGGAGTCAGTTCCCTGTCCCTCAGACCGTTGGAGGGCTGGACTGCGAGCCCTGGGACGAGTCAGTTGCTAAGCAGGACAGGCAGGGGCGGCAAAAACACCCGTCTGGGCCGGGTAAATGTCCTAGGTGGGCTGCATGTGGCCAGCGGGCTGTAGTTTGAGGACCCCTGGCTGGGTTGCCTTGTCATCTATGTGGTACTAGGCCAGTCATACTTCAAAACCCCCACTCTGGTGATTTAACTTCTCTGGACTTTAGTTTCTGATAAGATTATGTTGTTTACAAAAAGCACCAGGTGCTTTCTTTTTTTTTTTTTTTTTAGTGACAGAGTCTCACTTTGTCGCTCTCCATGGAGTGCTATGGTGTCACACAGCTCACAGCAACCTCCAACTCCTAGGCTTAGGCAATTCTCTTGCCTCAGTCTCCCGAGCACCTGGGCCTACAGGCGCCTGCCACAACACTCAGCTATTTTGTGCCAGTTTGGCTGGGGCCAGGTTTGAACCACCACCCTTGGTATATGGGGCTGGCGCCCTACCCACTGAACCACAGGTACCGCCCAAGGTGCTTCTTGTTTGAAGAATCAAGATTGATGTCCCATATTAAGAATGGAGGGAAAGCATGCCTAGAGAGGATTTCGTGGGAGTCTCTTTAAGTGAATTGAGATGATAAGTGCATGGGAAGATTATAGCTGATGCTAAACTGTTTGCCAATCATCTCTGATGGAGGACTAACATTTCTCTTCACTAAGCATGCTTTCTTCATTTTAGTATTTGATAATGAAACCATTCTAGCATAGTATAGACCTACTCCTTATAGTCTCCCTACTCCCCTCACAGTTTACATTTCCATCTGTTGAAAAATCAGTGGTAGTAGAAGAAAAATGTCAAAATTGATATAGAAAGGATTTCTCCTCTGTCTGTGCAAGCAAACTGTTAACCCTTTCTCAGTCATCAGGGGGAGGAATTGCACTTACAGTAATACAAAATTCAGAAGCAAGCCCGAGTCTACTTCATTTCCAATCCAGCCATCACAAATATGTATTGAGTATCTACCATGTGTTCAACAGCGTGACAGCGATTTCAAGAAGCTGAAGACATGATCTTAATGTCCTTTATTCAATAATTTATAAATCATCTATCATGTCAGGAATGATGGGTATAGTGATGCACAAGGCAGACTAAGTCCCTGGCATCCTAATCTATAATTAATTCAACAAATATTTGTTGAGCATCTGTTATGTACCACACATTTTTCAAGGAAGAAACATCAGTGGAAAAAACAGACAAAAATTCCTGCCTTCGTGGAATAGAGGAGATAGACATCAAACAAAAATGTTCTTAATTATAACTGTGTGTGTTTAAGGAAACTTTGTTGGTCATCCACTATAAGCTAATTACTGAGTACACTGTATTGAGACAGAAATGTGTGATCTTTGATCATTTGGAACTTATTCACCACAGAGTTTGTATTTAGTATGGGAGAGAGGGGGTACACAATCAATTAGAAAACAATACAACACCATGTAGTAAAAAAGCACCCACAGCTAAAATATAGACTTAGAGGACTCTGGGAGGAGGTTAGAGGCAGGGGCATCGGGGAAGAGGCCGGCCTTGGTCTACTCTGAGGCAAAGCACACGACATAAACAAGGGCTCGTTGTTAGGTCAGAGGGTGAGGGGCTGGCTGGTAAGAGGGTTCAGAGAGAAAGGAAACACAGTTGAATAAATGGGATAGGGTCAGAAAATCAAATATAGAAGTTTATTCTAAACTCATGTGCTAGGAAATAAATAGTGAATGTATTAAGTGTGTGTGTGTGTGTGAGAGAGAGAGAGAGAGAGAGAGAGACATACACAGACACACACACAAAGTAATAAATTCTACCAAAGATGTTTTCTTTTTAAAACCCCCCTTTGTTGGCTCCTTCTTGGCATGGAGTACAGTCTAAGCTCCTTAGCATGGCATAGTATGGCCTCCACAGGACAAATCCCAACTATGTCCTCAGTCTAGCTTGAACAATTTACCCCATGACAGCCCATATTCTAGACACTGCTTGCTCTTCCTTTCACACTGTGGTACCTTTGCACAGACATGATTACTCTACCCTGTAGACTCTTCCCTCCTTTCTTGGCCTGTCAAAATCACATCCATTCTTGCTGCTGAGAAGCTTCTTCCAGCCCATCCCAGCTAGAGGTGGTTAATTGCTTTCCTTTTCTCTCACTACTTTTTGTACATGTCTCAATTATGGGACTTCTCACACTTTGTTGTCTTTACTTATCTCTGGCTCATATTAGACTGTGAGTGCCTAGAGGGCAAGAAACTTGTTTTAGCCTTCTTCCCATCCCCAGCACTCAACACAGAGACTAGCATGTGTTAGGGCAAGGATGCTATGTAAGGCCTCAGTCCCACTTAGAGCTAGAAGGCATGGGACAGATGGCTGACAGACAGAGGTTAAAGAAGAAAGTGAAGGGAAAGAATATGGAAATCATAGGGATATCAAAGTAAGGGGATGTGTGAGAGGAGAGGGATAGCATTCCTGTCAAGCACTGGGATGAATAATATAAAGAGCTCACCATAGACAGATGGGGTTAATTAAAAAGCAACATTTCTGCAGCATGTACTATGTATGGAAAACATTATGCTTAGACACTATGGGGATAGAAAGTTAAATACATGTAAAACACCTCTTTGTATGGTTTGGTTGGAAAGATAAAACAAAGACAAAAAGATTGATAATATCCTTATATACTAAATTTCCTAAAGTTATTAAAGTCCAGTACCATTTTCAACTGTAAGACTTTTAATCTGAAGCCTCTCAGAAGTCAGTAAGGTGTTGTTTTAAGAAATATTAGATATGGAAACTGATGAACCTAGGTGAGATCTCAGCAAAGCTTAACAAGGTTAGATTAGAAACAACTTTCTTAGAAAATGGACATGGCATTATGAATTTTAATACCATTCAAAACTATTTCTAATTTCTTTCTGTTCCAAACTGTATTATTATGAGCTTTTTTGATGAAGATAAGATCAGGGATGGAAAGAGAGGAAAAGATTCATATGGAATCCAAAAGGAGTAAATGGAAAAAAAAATGAATGAAAAATAGACACAAAAGAGTTTCAGAGAAAAATGGGAATATATATAAGATAGTAAGAATAAAACTATATTACAGAAGCTAATTTTTAAAACTGTAGGTATGAATTAACTCTTTCAATGAACTCTTTAAATGGTGAGGTATTTGATGGCTATAACATAAAATGAGATTTTAAGAAAATAAGTAAGAGGTACTTTTAAATTCCATGATAAGCACTTAGCCAAAGGTAATTGAAGGAATGCTAGAAAAGGGATTAGAAAATGAAAATGGTAACATTATGTGAATAAAAGATAAGATGTATTCTGAGGGAAATGGTTGATGTCTCTTCCCTGGAGTACCTAAGAAAGAGACTAGGAATATCCCAAGATATCCAACAACTTAATTTCTCTGTTTTATAACAGTGTGATAGTGGGATGGCTTAGGCATTTATTTATTTATTTATTTTCAGCAATCAATCCTTGAGTAACTACTAGGTGGTTACCCCCAGAGCCTATCTATGACCTCAGTGCTCAACAGGGATTGGCTGAGCACCAAATGAGCTCATCAATTGAGCATTATGTCCTAGGGCATACAGGAGAGTATAAAAGGGGGTGCCGGGGCCCTGCCACACCAGCTCTTCAGTAGTTTCTTAACACGTAGACAATAGGATGTAGCATAGGTAAGTAGAAATATTAGGTTGGTACAGAAGTAATTGACTAAGGGTCTGAATTAATGTGAACGTGTAATCAGATTGAGTGCTGATATTAGATAAAGAGGTGGGATGGGGGAAGATATTCTCATTGAACTGGGGTTGACATTGAACTGGGGTTTAGCTGGACATGGAGTAGGGGCAGAAATTTTGAGTGAAGTTAGAGAGTGGGCAGGGAGTAGGGAACAGGGTTTGCTTACAGGGGGTATAATCATATTGGCCTGGTATAGAGCAGACAATTCATACTGGAAAGTAGTCAGAAATCAACTGAGATTGAATAAGAGAGGAGATTGGTGGGGATGGGGGTGGGTTGGAGGTGGGGGTGGCACAGGGGAGGTCTGACTTAACAATGGGCTTCCAGAGAATTCATACTGGAAAGTAGTCAGAAATCGATTGAGATTGTATGAGAGGAGATTGGTGGGGATGGGGGTAAGTTGGAGGTGGGGGTGACATGGGAGAGGTCTGACTTAACAATGGGGTCTTATTGATGTCATTTCCCTTGCCTGATATCTGCCAATGAAAAACATTATACCTAATCTTGTAAGGTTA